GAATTCACATTGCTGTGCCGAGAGATTGAATAGCCTCGCAAGTGGAACGTTTTAGAGCTGATGACGGAATGCCGTCAGGTCCGGCGGCGAACGAGAGCTTCAGTTTGCGTGTTGCGGCTGTCACCGGCCATTATTAAAGTAAAGTAAAGTAAAGTTACAAAACCATGTAACGAGCCGAGTCAGTTGTGCGAGCAGAAAGGCTAACAGATTGTTTGGATGCGGGTTTCAACCAATTTTCGACCTTTTGTGGTACCTTAGAATATTTTCGGCCTTTTGTGTTTCAGCCTTTCGTGCTTCGGCCTTTTGTGATTTTTTTTTTTGCTGCAACCGCAAGCAATCAGGGAAGCCTCACACAACCACGTACATCTTGACATCGTCTGCATAGAATGACCGGCAGCCAGTAGGAAGTATTAAACCGATTTCGATGAATATCGAGAATAGCAGCGGTCTCAAATTGCTGCCTTGAGGAACACCTGAGTTGTTTGGACAATATTCCGATTGATCAGAGCCGATTTTCGCGCAAAGGTCTTGATTGGTAGGATACAATTCAAACGGAATCCCTTCCGCGGTTATTAAGAACTGTATTGGAGTGCTGGCCGCACCTTTAGCATCCATCTTCAACCTCTTTTTGGATTCTGGGATCTTTCCCGACTGCTGGAAGGATTCTTTTGTTTTCCCTGTCTTCAAAAAAGGCAATAAGCAGTGGGTGTCCAACTACCGTGGTATCGCTGCTTTATGTGCAGTCTCAAAACTTTTCGAACTATTGGTGCTAGATTATTTAAAACACACGTGCTCTAGTTACATCGCGACTGAACAACACGGATTTATGCCGCAGAGGTCGACCGCTACAAATCTCGTTCAATACACATCATCAATCATACGTGAGATGGAAAGAGGTCATCAAGTGGATGCTATCTACACCGATATTTTTGCTGCTTTTGATAAAATCAATCACGAGATTGCAGTGGCCAAACTAGAGCGACTTGGTTTTCACGGTTCCCTTCTTGATTGGCGTCGCTCATACCTCACCGGTCGACATATGTCAGTGAAGATTGGAGATCATTTTTCTCAACCGTTCGCTGTTTCTTCTGGTGTACCTCAAGGCAGTCATCTGGGACCGTTCATATTTTTATTGTATCTGAATGACGTTCACTTTTCGATCCGTTATAACGTTTTCCAGGAAAAAATCACCTATCTGTTATGCTTACAGCCTGCAGGAGCAAATATTAAGCCGTGAATCTACCATTAAAGACTTAGGCGTACTACTTGATTCACAACTCACCTTCAAGGACCATGTGGCTAAGGCATCTTCTCAACTTGGTTTCATTTTTCGTTTCGCCAAAGTCTTTAGGGACATTTTCTGTTTAAAAACACTCTATTGTTCGCTAGTCCGCTCCCCATTAGAGTACTGTTCCGTAGTATGGGCTCCTTTTTACAGCAACGGGGTGAATCGTATTGAGGCCATTAAGCGAAGATTTGTACGTTTCGCCCTTCGTTGACTACCCTGGAGTGATCCTTTCAATCTCCCTAGTTATGAAAGTCGTTGTAATCTGATGTCCCAACAATTATTTAGTGTTCGCCAAGGCGTCTCTAAGGCTACCTTTATCTCTGATCTCCTGCGACCGGACATTAATTGCGGTTCACTTCTGCAGCAGTTTAATGTCAATATCAGACGCATAAATTTACGTTCTTATAATTTTTTCAACATCCCGGCTTCTCGCACAAACTATGGCGCTAATGAGCCTTTAACTAGCATGTGCAAGATTTTCAACAAATGTTACAACTGCTTTGATTTTAATATCTCCCGTGAATCTGTTTTATAATGTACTTTTAACTTCCTGACGGTTTCTGTTTTCTGTATTTAAATTAAGTTAATTATGTTATCATTAATATCTCTTTATATGTTTAGCCCTCCCCATGGACATGGAGGTTGACGGTACTGAAGCAAAGGGTTATGTTTAATTTCTTTATATTTGCAACGATGATGATTTCCCATAGTGACACATATCACCTTCTTAATGCTTCAGTATACCTCAAACGATTAATTCTTGGTTGTTAATAGAACTTCCTTGATGCAATCGGCTGCTTCATGCAGGCTGAGCAATTCTGATTATAGTATCAGATTTGTTCTGTATACAGAGGAACTGGGAGGGCTTATTAGAAACTTCTTACCAATAAAGTAATGACTTTCTAATAAATTTTGCATATCATTTTATTAATATTTTATTTTTTTAAGCATATTATTTTTGTTACAGTCAATTAGCATTAGCATACAATACAAGAGATTTAATATTACTTGCTCGGTTTTGCGTAAAATAATCAATATGTATTTTGCTTGTAATTACCTTTGAATTTTTTTTTTTTTTTTGTGGTTTCAAAATTTTCCTAGTTTGGTTAGAAGTTTCGAAGCTAACACATGTCAACAGGCCTAATAGAAAGATAGACAGACAAAGCGTATCATGAAGAATAGTTGCATGCAGGGTTGCTTCCACTCACTTTCTATAGATGAGTGATTTTCGGAGTTTTGGATTCGTTAGATGTTGTAATGGAGGTTTGTGTTGTTGGATGCGGGAGGAGATTGGAGGGCGGGTGTTTGACGCATAGGGCCTGTCAATTTCGCTTTCAGAGTGTCGTAGTCAGCGGTTTTATGATTCGTGAGCGCTCGCGATTCGTAGAATCGTTGATTGTGACTGCCAGTGGATTTGGCGGGTTTTGTGTGTCGGACGCTTGCTTTTTGGCCTTTTCTTGTGTCTAACATGTGCAGAGTATCATTATAGCGTCTAATGGTTTTGAGATTCCTGGTTGCGTGAAATATACTTGTGAGAATATCTTTTTGAGATTTTAGTAGTCACGTTTTGTTTGAAGTTTATATTTTATTTCTTTCATGTAATTATCGTAAATAATAGTTATTCAATAATAGATAATTCATCCATATATTCAATAATAAATTTACGAATGACTATAATTTGGATACCTAACAATTGGACAGAATCACTAGCAAGAATAGGTTGTGTTCGCCTTCGAAAATATCGATTCGTTTTTTCAGGGTTGTAGTTTTGGTTTTCATCAGTGGCCCGGCTCTGATTGTGAACGATTTAGATAGTATTTTTAGGTAACTATTTAGCTTTTATCACAACTTTGCTACTACGAATCCACAAAAGACATTAAATTGGAGGCAGATTCTGGTACGGAATTACAGGCTGCTATTCTGCGCAACTTATCTTCATAAAATTAAAAATTACATTTAGGTATTAATTAGCAAATATGAATAGTAGTTAACTTTAACATAATTTTGATAAAACAATCATTTCATCCAGTTCACTTTAAAACAAACAAGTATGAAAGGAGATTGCTTAGATCGATAGCCATTGCAAATCAACCATCTCTACCTGCTTATTTTCCTAACTTTCACTATTATTGCTGTTACTCTGACTATCCCCTATGTTCAACAGCTTTCCTTACTATCCGGTATCGTAAACAGGATTCATTTGACCCCTGTGGTTATTATTCTGTGATGCCAAATCTATACCTCTACCCTGGTGCAGTATGGACAGCGATTTTTCGCTGGTGACTTGGCCCTATGACCCCCTTCTGTGCTTGAAAATGAAAATGAAAATGAAATGAATTAATATCTCTTTATATGTTTAGGACTTAGTTCAAGCAAATGTATCTGTAGGATTCCATATTATCTGTTGGTACTGAAATGATGAGGTTTTGGGCTTTTCCCTCCAATAAATAAATAATAAAAAAAAAAACAGCGAGTGAGTCCTTGAGAGACACCGAGCTTCTCGAGTTTGACAAGTAGAGTGGAATGATCAACCCGGTCGAAAGCAGCCTTGGTTAGGAGGAATGTAGTTTCTACAGCTGGTAAATAAAGCGTCGTTGATGATTATCTCGAATACTTTCGACCAGGCACAAAGTGAAGTAATGCCTCGGTAATTCTCCACATTTCGCTTGTCTCCTTTCTTGAAAATCGGGAACATGAACGAAGATTTCCAGCGAGAAGGAAATACACCTTGTTGTAATGAAATATTGAACAACTTTGAAAGCGGAGAGGAAAGCTCTGTTGAGCATCTTTTGAGTATGGACGATGGAATGCCGTCAGGCCCAACAGCGTTCGAGAATTTCAGCTTCTGGATGGCAGAGTCGACGAGGTCCAATGTGACCGTGAAAATATCAAAGCAGAACGCGTCACTGGGAGTATCTCTGATCCCTTCAGCAACTTGGCTTAACGATGCCGTTGAGTCGATGAAAACACTCCTGAAATGCTCTGCCAGGAATAAAAAGTTTTGGCTTTTTTTTCGCTTAGATGAATCTCAATCAATAGCCCATCCTCTTTCCTTTTTGTCTTCACAAACGTCCAGAATAGCTTAAGATTATGCCGGAATTGGTCTGCATACGTCTTGAGTACTTCTACGGAAATAGAAAACGGTTGTACTTTCGATAGCCATTGCTTGCTAACGAAAATAATCGCTTGATGAATGGATTATGGGACTGATTTGCGAAGTGCCTTCGATCTCACACGCTTCAAGTGTCGTAATCGAGCTTAGACCATGCAGGTTTTGGAGCAGATCTCATCAGAGGCACAAAATCCATTATTAATCGGCTCATAACTTCGTCGAAGTAAAGGAGCAAAGGATTTTGAGGAAGGTACAAATCGGGTTGATCATCCTTATATTTTCCTGCCTATCTCGTTCCAGCACTTACGCACCATAGTCGGTCGATTTAGGTTCAGCCTGTATAATTCAGGATGACGCAACACGATAGTGCAAACCTCATTATTTTCTTAATTATGCACTATCGCTCAAGACCTCCTGCCTGTCCGGCTATCGAGCACCATCCTTCGGCGTCCAGATTGCGACACGAGTGATCAACCGCGAAACGTCGGCTTGGGACCGTATGCCATTTTTTGCAGACCAGACTAGCGACCGTCCAAAAATTATGTGAGACTGACCGAAGAGATTTCTTTCCACTACTTCCATTTCCAAACACACGGGCTATGTTAAACTAGCAGATCAGTTTGCACCATCTCTGCATTAGCAATGATTTATTACAGTAGGTGTTTCCGAAACTAGCAAATGATTCATAAATAAGTTACAATTTTCCGCCGGATCCATGTACTTTTCGTTTTATCAGTAGTATTTTACTTCAAGTAGTACTCACAATATGCTTGCATGTCTTCTCCTCATAACTGCTCCACGTGATGTTTTCACAAAACACCCCTCTTAGACATCTACTTACCATGCAGGGCAGCGGTCTCCAGACCGGGGGCGTCCTTCTTGGCGATGCCGGACAGCAGCTTCTTGATCTCGGCAATCGCCTTACCCGGATTCAAGCCCTTCGGGCAGGTGCGGGTGCAGTTCATGATGGTATGGCAACGGTACACGCTGAACGGATCCTTCAGCTTGTCCAGCCGGGCCGCGGTCGATTCGTCACGCGAATCGATAATCCAACGGTAGGCCTGCATGAGGACGGCCGGGCCGAGGTACTTGTCACCGTTCCACCAGTACGATGGGCACGACGTCGAACAGCAAGCGCACAGGATGCACTCGTACAGGCCGTCCAACTTGGCACGGTCGTCCACCGATTGCAGGTATTGGGCATCGCCCTTCTTTTCACCGGCTTCGTCCCTGGAAAGAAAAGATGAGGCAAAGGAACAGGGTTACCAATCGGAATTAACGGTTGATTTGACTGTAGCAACTTAGGGAACTGCTAGTCTCATGTGGTTCATTTTTAAACACTCCTTTTAGACCAAAGCAGAGCTATCCAATGCATTCCTGAGACAATTTCGTATTAGAAAGCAGCCACTTGAATTCAAATGGTTGATATTTAATACTCATTGAAGCTCCAAAGCGATATTTTTTCATTAAAATGTTTGCTAAATTTCATAGACCTGTGCTTCAAAAAATTTATTTTTCAATCGATTTACTTCAAAATTTAACAAACATATTTTCAAATATAGTGAAATAAATAATTTCAGAGGTTTTGTCCGGCCCGGTCCCACTGTGCTTCGTTGCGAGCCTTCCGCAAGGAAGTATCCTTGGGTTCATCTTTTTCAATTTGTTCACCTTCGACATTCCGGCTCTCCCTGATGGTGGAACGTTGTTTCTGCTCGCAGATGACAGCTCATCGGAGCTCTAACTGCCAAACTTCAGAGAGGCTTGGATGTCCTGTCTGAGGATTTCAACAACTGGAAGATCTAAAGAGGTATTCTATATTTAACTAACTCTTGACAGCAAACTGATTTTCAGGGAACATATTGACAAAACAAACACCAAGTGTAACATCTTGATAAGATCACTGTATCCACTTGTCAACAGGAAGACCACCTTATCCCTTGCTGTCTACAAACAAATCATCCTTCCAGTAATTGAATAAGGTATGCCAATCTGGGAGAGTTGCGCTTAATGCCATCATCTCATACTGCAAAAGATTCAGAATAAGATCTTTACGATGATCCTGAACAGTCCTTCAAGAACTTGTAATTCTAAGGTCCACGGCTTGGCTGGAAAAATGCCAAAACACAAAGCAATGAATTTTTGAACCGAAAATATCATCGGTGATTATTGCGCAGTTAAATTTGGCAAGGTGCAGAATAAACTGATACATGAGATTTGAGTTTTTTTTTTCTGAACACCGCCTAAGACAAATTTTTCTAGGTAGGGATAGACGGGGCAAGATGGCCACCCTAAGGTTGACATTATTTTTATTAGTAATAATTGCAATTAATACAGACAAGTGAGATTTTGAGGATTGTTTTCCTCAGTTAGGTCTATTCTGAGCAGCGTGTGCGGTGAGGTGACAGCGAAGTGATGGTGAAGTGACAATTGTCCCCTCCGGTGAGGTGAGTCTCCGTTTGATTTACACGTGACAGCGTGTCACCTCACCTCACACGCCACGCTGAATAACCCTAAGTTTATCAAAACAAAATACCAGTACCAGGTTGAAACATTAATTGAAAGTTGTAGCAAACGTATAACAAAAGGGTTATTGATTATTGCAAATTCTTAGTCTTAGGGAGGATTTTTTCCGGTCGACACATTTTCATCAATTTCTTGGTGAATATTTCTAAACTATTTTTGGAACGTTGCATATGATCATTATTGAAAGTATGTGCAGTTTTCAAAAATATAAGATATTTGATGTAAACTTAACCGATGATCACCTTGCACCGTCTACCCCTATACCGAGATACCGCACTGATTTTGGGAGAAGGAGAAATTATGTGTTCAAAGCAGCTGTCTCTATCTTTGAAATTATGCCAGTTCGTTTTTAGTTAAAATGCTAGCAACTTACTTGCGCTGCAGCCACGGCTGGATCGACCGATACTGATTGTAGAAGTTGTTCATATCCGGAACCAAATCCTTCACCACGTACATGTGCGGCAACGGGTACACCTTGGTCGGCTTGTCCAGGTTGTCCGCGTCGATCTTGCTGATGCAAGCCAACGTATTCGTTCCGCCAATGTTCATCGCGCACGAACCGCAAATGCCCTCACGGCACGAACGACGGAACGTCAGCGTCGGGTCCATTTCGTTTTTGATCTTGATCAGCGCATCCAACACCATCGGACCGCAGGCGTTCAGATCTACCTCGTAGGTCTAAAAGGATCAAGATGTTTGCGTAATTGATGTTGTCCACAAGATGCGGGGACTTTTTATAAACCTTACCTCGTTATAGGGCTTCTGCTCGGGCTTATCCGGATTCCAACGGTAGATCTGGAACTTCTTGACTTTCCCGGCCGCAGCATTGTTTGCAGCAGCCAGATGGATGTTCCTGATCTAAAATTAATCCGAGAAGATTCTCAATCAGATGTACTTTCAAAATATGTTGATAAACTACACCAAAGCACAGTCCCAGCCAGGGAATTCAAGGTTAATCCCACGCACTATCAACCCTAATCCAAACATAAACAATCCGAAACAAAACACTCCGGCACCTGGCACGGTGCCAGCAATCGCAATCGAATGCTACAGTTTGCATTTTTATCAAACTCACGAAAATTAACGCGAATTATATAATCCAGCTTCTGCTTATCCATCCATTCTCTTACAACCCGCAGAGGAAAAATCACTCTGCTATCGTGAAAAATGATTACACAATGTGTCCCAACTCAGCTCAGAACTCACCTGACCGAAGGCACCGCGGCAGGCCAACAGCATCTTCAGATCGCACACCAGAGCCATCGTAAATCGTTGTCGCGGATCCGTACGAGGTAGAGATTAAGCTTTTCTGCACGCACAATAGGCACCAGTTAAGGATTGACGGCAAACTCAAATCGCACAGACGACAGAACCAAAGTTGCAAATTTTGACAGTGGAATCTACTTTTTCTTCATACGCTTGCAAAACGAGTGGAACGTCACACCGCGTTTCGAATTGGGAGAGTTGTGTCAAGCGTCGGCGGATCTTTTGGCCAAAATCCACTGCACGAGAGAGTACAGATGAGAGAATTATGCTGCTGCGAGAGAACCGAGAGAACAACACAACACCAGCATAAATCGACAGAGCCCTGCGCCGGCACAATAGTGTTTTTGTTTCCAATCGCAATGTCGACCTCGATTACACGCTCGTTTGAGTTCACCCAAAACTGAGTTCTAGTACACAGCATCGACAAGCATTTTGCCTCGCATTTTGCAGTTTCGGCATTAAGTCTAGTATTATCGTTTCAGTAGAAAACCGTAAAATCCCACACGCGCCAATTGAATTTACTCTCGTTCTGTACGTTAAACATAACGTCGGACATAGTGCGCTGTATTCACACAATGATGCGCTATTCAGCGCACTATGTCCGACGTTATGTTTAACGTACACTGTAACTGGTGAGTACCCATTAATGGGTGAAAAAGTACCCATTTTGTGGTAGTGTATGGAGCTGTCAAAAAATGCGTAAATGAAAATTTCAAATAATGGGTACTTTTTCACCCATTTCCGAAAACTGTTCAGGGATCAAAAATGAGTACATTTTTACCCTATATTGGGTGAAAAATATCTTTGTTGCTCCGTAACGTTGCTGGTATACTTGGTGTGCCTTGTCGAGTGCCTTTGTTCCGTTTTAGTAAAAAAGTGATAAATATGTGAAAATCTTCCTTGGAGGAGTCTACAGACTTCGAAGCAGAACTAGCGGCTCCGATTATTCGATGTATCTCGGTAATAAATCCATTACACTAGATTTTGCTGTTGTTAGAAAGGCGTTCATTTTTTTTTTTTTGCAGGATGCTGAAACACCTTTACAAGAACAATTAATGAAGTATGTTGCCTGGAATGTCGATGCTAACGTTGATGTGGCGCCCCATCTGATTTTCAACGGCAACAATTACTTCATTTACGTTGACGCTCAACTCATCCACGGTGGAATTGACTCCATCCGCGCGCTGGACACTCTATTTAAAGTGTTCACTGTTTTCAACATTCGTCCGCCAGCAGAAGTGCAGAAAATTATTGATTTCATCGAGATCATGGGCCTTATTACGGGTGTCACTACACGGTGATAAGGAAGTGATACTCATAATAAGAGCCGTGATTGCCGTGCAAATCAAATGGTAATCACTTCACCGTGACGACAAGTGACAAGTTTTCACCGTGAAGTGACATCCGTAATAAGCCCCCATATGTTATGGAATCACAACGACCAGCACCCGTCAGATAGTCAATCGTTTGGTTTCATCGTTGTTTTCATAAATTATATCAATGATGTTCAATAAAAACCAAGTTCAGTAATCTGTAGTTTCCATTTTATTGATTGATTTTAAAATTATTGCTAATTCTCAAATTTCAGATTAAGTCCCATCAATATATTTAAAAAGGGGTACTTTTTACCCAGTTACGGAAAACAATGCATTCTGGAAATGGGTAAAAAGTACCCCATGATTTGACGTATAAGCTCTTTACCCATTAGTGGGTAAAGACGTTTTACCCATTTTATGAGTTTACCTACTTTACCGCGAAATGGGCACTTTTTCACCCATTAATGGGTACTTTCCAGTTACAGTGTACAGAACGAGGGTAAAATCGAATGTCGTGTGTGGGATTTTCCGATGTCCAACTTGAACGACAGTATACAGATCGAAGCGAAACGAAATTTGAAGCACGCGAAAAATCATAATCGCTAGCGAAAAAGGTTGTGAAAAAATGCTTGTGGAACATTTTCCAGTTTCCTTTTTTCGCAGTTTACAGTTCATCGATCAGTTTACACCTCCTGTGAAGTGAAAATCTGACAGATATGCTCTTTCTCAAAACGTCAACTTTTCGCTAAGCTGCTTTCCTTTTCGCTAGCGCTGCATGTGCGAAAAAAATAAACGCAAGCGAAAAAGATACGATCTACAAAATTAGATTTCGCTGGATCGTTTCTGTTTACAGTTCAAAGCGAAGTGAAACATTTGCCAATTGCGTTTTTCAAGCAGGTGAAAAATTTAGTATTTTGTATGAGTTTTTTGCTTCGCTTAGATTTCTATACAGACCTTTGTTGGAAGATTGCAGAGAAACTTTTGCTGGCTCTGAGAACTGTTATGATTGATAGTTGCACAATTCTCCAACGGAAACAGGTGATTTTTGGGGAAAATCGTTTCATAAAGTAAAACTATCTTTATAACGAGCTTTATAATCCTTCCTGGGGAAACTATTGCTTCAATCTCGGCTTGAATCGCGTACACACTTAGTTTTTTTTTTTTTTTTTTGGAGATACCCCAAACACGTCGTTAAGCAAAATAACCATAACAAATTTATTAGGGCCAGGGAACGGTCGGACACAAGATTCTCGGTGGAGCGAAAAAGTTGGAGTTCGAGAATCGACAGGTGGTTGAATTTAAGATGTCGATCGAATACATGAGTTTCAGTCCTGGTTTCATTGCTAATGCAGATCCAGTAGTGCGAACCCAAGAACGTAATGTTGGTCGAAGCGATAAACATGGATGTGTTGAAGGAAAATATAAAAGAAAAGTTCCACATCGGCCAGCGAATGCTAAACGATGAAGCTAAAAAGAACAATGCCGAGCCACCAGATCAGGAGCGTAGACGCGTCATCCACGGGTTGTTGGTGATGAAGGATATCAAAATCTTGCTGATGAGCATCGATGAAATCTTCAACGAATATGGAATCCCTGAATCAATTGTCATGTAATAAGGTAAACTTTATGCCATTTAATCATGGCATTTAAGCGTGACTCATAAACTATATTTTTAATGCTAGTTTCAGATTCATTTTGAATGTGAAAATTGACAATTCGGGACCAACCCTGCGAACTGTTGAGAAGCTGCACAATCCGTTTTGATGAATGAGAATGGCTCGATCAATGTGGAATCGGTGAATATCAAGATTGAACCTCCACCACCGCCAGGCATTTCAACGAAGCATACAATTTATAGCGTTTCGTGAGTCAACCAGGATGAAGATTTAGCCGTACCTACCGACAAAACATTGTTGACTTTTCTAACCATTTTAAATTTAACATGGAAGCCTAATAAAGCTGGGAGCTCGGCTGGGAGTAACTGGAAGATTTTTTTCATTAACAGTTAATCATTAAAAGTTCTCATTACAACTAAATTATAAAACATTTTATTCTTTACTGGTATTAATCGTTTTTATCCAACTTTAGGACCTCTCTCGTTTAACTTCCTCCGAAATTGTTTCAGATGGTCACCATCCTTGGCACCTTCACGTAGGTGTTCCGCTGCTTTCTCGTCCAACTTGTTTCACTATGTCGATTTATTTTACATTTTTAGTGGAGATGAGAATTCGTTCCAAATTGATTAGGTAGCTTTCTAGGAACGAGTTCATGTGCACAATGTTGCAAACCATCTAGAAAATAATATATTCCATTAGCTATAATCCTAACTTATGAGATCTAACACTTACCTGCTAGATTCCCAAAATATGTCCTGACAATGCTCCTATCTATATACAGTTCAAATAAACAGTCGTACGTCCGTGCAACTCAGGGAAAGCGAAGCCAAACGCGCTGAAGATGAAGGGAAGTAAAGCCGTTGGTCCCCGGTTCATGAGTTGATGGGTCGATAGGTAGGGTCCAGGTGTGGGAGAGCTGCCTTCCTGGCACGTCGGTAGCATTGTGCTCAGCACGGAAAACAAGATCGACGGAAAAAACAAACCAAAGGAAAAAAAAAGAAAAGCTTTGAGAACTGTTATATGAATGATGGGTGCAAAATTCTCCAATGGAAATACTTGATTTTTGGGGAAAATCACATCATAAAGTAAAACCTGAGTACTGCGAACTCAGCCGATTTTATTTTTCAAGGGAGCTAGAAAACATCTTGAAAATCTTCCGAAGTTTCAAATTGTTTTGCTAAAACGGCTCACGAAATTGTATATACATGCTGTCAAATGAACTCTTGGCTCCTCCTTCTCTGCTCCAGAAATAACGTATACATGCCCACAAAGCTCACATGGCTCTTATAAAGTTTGATTACATTCTTGTTTCAGCAACCCAGTTTTGGCACTAATAATATCAAATAAAACACTTTTTCGAGCATCACGCTCGATGATTTACATTATCCGAGGGGGACGACTCTATCTACGCTGCAGGAAATATTGTGTTTTGCTGTGGCTAGCTGCGCGTACGCTGAGTAGATAGAAAGAAGATTTATCACGATTTTGAAGATTTCCTACAAAAAGATGATGCGCGATGCAAGTAGATGCGAGAAATGAAAGAAGATTTTTCGAAGATTTATTCGCTAGTGTGAGATTTATTGAGCATCTCAATTTGAGATTTAGATGTGTCGCCCCCCTCGACATTATCCGCCTACTAAGGTTGATGTTTCGACAGTTTCATAATTATAATTCTCAATTTGTTTTCAGTAGGTGGCAACACCTTTACTTGTGGTTTAAACAGTAACTACCTACACAGAGAAAAAAAATACCCTAAATTTAAGTTCTTTTTACTCAATTTTGGGTAATTTTAAGTTTTGCATCCCACTCTCACTTTTTGTTGTTGTCAAAAACGGAACGAGAGATTTGACTTTCTCATGACTATCTTTCAATAAGCTACTAGTGAGTATATGAGATATTTTCAAATTTGAGTCAATTGAACTTAATTTTAGGTAGAAAATACACACGAGTAAGTAATTATTTTTGCCGTAGCTAAATGCAAACTACTATAAGCGGTTCACTGAAAATTAGCTTATTGAACGGAACATGGGAGATGAGTGAAAAGAACTTAATTTTGGGTAATTTTTCGGTTCCGTGTACGTGACTTCTGAGCTCTTTTGAATGTTTGGCTCCCGTTTGACAGTTTGACTCGGCTCCGAGATGACAAACATTTTGAATTAGTTCGCAGTACCCAGAGTAAAACCAACAATCAATACGAAAC